AATTTTGAATGGGCTAAAATCGTACCACACTGCACTAAAAGTAGTGCATGTAAAACTTTTAGAAACACAGTGCAACCTACTACAAAAGCACCATGCGATCCAGTGCAGGCAAATGAACTGCTTTTACAGCCAAAGTTTGGAGCATCATTAACTTACTATTGACACCCGCTACAGATTGCATCTGCAGTGCATTTTGAAGATGGTGCAGGAAATGCACATGGAATTCGTGTAGCCCTTTCATTTCAATGGGCTGCCCTTCCTGCAGAAACGTGCGGAAAGAAGTCCTTGACACACAGTGTATGCCATCAATAAAGAGAGCGCTGTGCGCTGTGAATCATGAACCAATCAAAGCCTGGCCATTCAAAGAGAAGGTGATCCTGGAAGGAAGACTAGGTGAAGATGGAAGCACCTGCGGTGGTTAAAGCTTGGTCCTGGGGGGGCTCTGTTTAAAATAAATAAATCTGCCATAATGTGCTAGTATACTAGCACATTATGGCATTAACCAGCGGGGGAGGGGGGATTTTTTTTTTTTGCACTGGAGTTTATTACTGCTTTAACCCTTTTGCTGCCAGAGCCTTTTTTGCATTTTTGCAGACATATTTAAAAAAATTATTTTAGGCCTGAAGATTACACAAAACCCCCAAACATTATATATTTTCTGAAAGTAGACACCCTAGAGAATAAAATATTGGTAGTTCCAATTTTTCAAGACACCAATTACTCACATTTTTTGGTAAAATATAAAAGAAGAGGTTGCGCCAGGTAAATAGATATCCAAAATGTCAAACCTTAAATTTGGCAATGCTTCAAAAGCCCCTACAGGTCATCGGTTTAGTTTTATGGAGGAGGTGTTATGCTAGAATTATTTCTCTCACAATTATTTCTCTTCACAATCGACGTTTTCCCTCATAGGCAACCAAACGCGTACATTTATGTTCATGAGTGCATATAAGCGAGGGTTGGGGGACTCCAAAGTTTTTGGGGGTGATGTTATGTGCTTGGGTGTAATTTTATTTTTGTGCAATTTAAAAAAATGTTTTTACTTAACTTTTATTTTTACATCACATCAATGTCCCCTATGTGATGATTTTTAGGTGACAGGTTCACTTTAAGGAGACATGCAGGGTCTAAAAGACTTTGCATGTCTCCTCTAGGCTCCACTGGATGTATTGCAATGCAGATCGCATTGCAATACATGTACAGTGGATATATAAAGTCTACACACCTCTGTTACAATGTCAGGTTTCTGTGATGTAAAAAAATGAGACAAAGATAAATTATGTCAAAACTTTTTCCATCTTTAATGTGACCTATAAGCTGTACAACTCAGACGAGTAAAAATAAAAAACTAAAATAATATGGTTGCATGAGTGTGCACACCCTTAAACTAATACTTTGTTGAAGCACCTTTTGATTTTATTCCAGCACTCAGTCTTTTTGGGTATGAGTCTATCAGCATGGAACATCTTGATTTGGAAATAATTGCCCACTCTTCCTTGCAAAAACACTCCAAATCTATCAGATTACGAGGGCATCTCCTGTACACGGCTCTCTTCAGATCACCCCCACAGATCTTCGATCAGATTCAGGTCTGAGCTCTGTCTGCGTCATTCCAAAACTTGATCTTCTTCTGGTGAAGCCATTCCTTTGTTGATTTGGATGTATGCTTTGGGTCGCTGTCATGCTGAAAGATGAAGTTCCTCTTCATGTTCAGCTTTCTAGTAGAAGCCTGAAGGTTTTGTGCCAATATTGACTGGTATTTGGAACTGTTCATAATTCCCTCTACCTTGACTAAGGCCCCAGTTCCAGCTGAAGAAAAACAGCCCCAAAGCATGATGCTGCCACCACCATGCTTCACTGTGGGTGTGGTGTTCTTTTGGTGATGAGCAGTGTTGTTTTTGCGCCAAACATATCTTTTGGAATTATAGCCAAAAAGTTCAACCTTGGTTTCATCAGACCATAACACATTTTCCCACATGCTTTTGGGAGACTTTAGATGTGTTTTTGCAAAATTTAGCTGGGATTGGATGTTTTTCTTCATAAGAAAAGGCTTCCATCTTGCCACTTTACCCCATAGCCCAGACATATGAAGGATACAGGAGATTGTTGTCACATGTACCACACCGCCAGTACTTGCCAGATATTCCTGCAGCTCCTTTAATGTTGCTGTAGGCCTCTTGGCAGCCTCCCAGACCAGTTTTCTTCTTGTCTTTTCATCAATTTTTGGAGGGACCTCCAGTTCTTGGTAATGTCACTGTTGCAGCATATGTTCTCCACTTGATGATGACTGTCTTCACTGTGTTGCGTGACTGTCTTGCATGGTATAGCTAATACCTTGGAAATTCTTTTGTACCCTTCTCCTGACTGATACCTTTTAACAATGAGATCCCTCTGATGCTTTGTAAGCTTTCTGTGGACCATGGCTTTTGCTGTAGGATGTGACTAAGAAAATGTCAGGAAAGGTCTATTAGAAAAGCTGAATTTTCTTTGGGATTAATCAGAAGCACTTTAAATGATGGCAGGTGTGTACTGACTCCTATTTAACATGGTTTTGAATGTGATTGCTTAATTCTGAACACAGCTACATCCCCAGTTATAAGAGGGTGTGCACACTTATGCAACCACATTTATTTTAGTTTTTTTTTGTGTTTACTCCCCCCCCCCCTAAAAGATTTCAGTTTGTTTTTCTATTGAGTTGTACAGTTTATAGGTGATATTAAAGGTGGAAAAAAGCTCTGAAATACTTTATCTAATTTTTTTACATCACAGAAACCTGACATTTTAACAGGGGTGTGTAGACTTTTTATATCCACTGTATCCCTGGCTACTCTAGCTGGGGAAAGTGACAGCGGTGACCTGGAAGTGATGTCGTACATGTCGCTTGCTGGGTCACAGTAAAAAAAGGGGGGGAGCGGACGTGTGTCTACCCTCCTCTCTCCCCTCCACCCGCCATATCAGCGATATGTAACATGTGTTTCGCAATCATTTTCACGCATTGGCGACCCCAGTGCATGCATTTATGTTCATGCGTGCGAATATGTGAGGGTGGAGGGCCTCAGAATTTTTTGGGATGGATGTTAAGTGCTTGGGTGTAATTATATGTTTGTGCAGTGTAATTTTATTTTTGTGCGATGAAAACATTTTATTTTACTTAACTATTTTTTTTTTTCATCACAGGGGTCACAATGTCCCCCTATGTGATGATTTTTAGGTGACAGGCTCACTTTAAGGATACATGCAGGGTCTAAAAGACCTTGCATGTCTCCTCTGGGCTCCATTGGATGTATTGCAATGCAGATCGCATTGCAATACATGTATCCCTGCCCATTCTAGCTGGGGAAAGTGACAGCGGTGACCAGGAAGTGATGTCATACATGTCGCTTTCTGGGTCAGAGTAAGAAGGGGAGAAGAGTGGACGTGTGTCTGCCCTCCTCTCTCCTCTCCACCCATCATATTGACCCTGGGCCTGCAGATGGGCGAGCAGAATTAGCATGAAATACAGTCAGTTTTAGACACAATCCCGGTGGCCGCAGCCACTGGATTGTGTATAAAACACCCCGCTGTCAGGTCCACCTGGCAGTACAGACCTGACACTTCCGCCTTGTACAGACCTGGCAGCGGGGTGCTTTACACACAATCCAGTGCTAGGGCCATTGGTTCAAATCCCAGCCACGGCACCACCTACCTGGAGTTTGTATGTTTTCCCTGTGCCTGCGTGGGTTTCCTCCAGGTACTCTGCTTTCCTCCCACACTCCAAAGACATGCTGGTAGGTTAATTGGCTCCTGTCTAAATTGGCCCTAGTATGTGTATATATAAATTAGGGACTTTAGATTGTACAAGGGACATGTGAATATACAATATATGTATGTAAAGCGCTGCATAAATTGAAATAAGTACCTGAAATAAATAAAATTAAATGCCAAACTTTTTTTTTTCATTTTTTGATTGAGCAGAGAGGGATTAGAACGCTTGTCAGTTTTGACTGCAGTCTGGGCCTCCGTTAGGCTACATCCACACTAGCTTTGTCAGCAGGCATCAGACAGGTGTTTGGGAAGTGTTTTTTTTAACACTTCTCAAACGCCTATGAAAATTCTACACATGGCAGCATACAGTGCTGTTCACACGGAAGCGTTAGCAAAACTGACGCCTCGTGTCCAGTCAGGAGGAGTTGAAGCCTCCCATTCAAGTCTATGGTGCCACTCCGCAACACCTGGCAGGTGTTTGCGGTGCGGTTGCAGAGCGTTAATACCATTTAACTTCATTATAGGAGTTTGTGGTGCGGTTTTAATGCTTGACAAACGCCTATCAGCCGCCTCAAAACTGTGCATAGGGCATTTTAGGAGCGTTAAAAATGCTTCACAAATGCCTAACGCCTGTCAAGCGCTATAGGGGCGTTTGGCAAGAGTTAGAAATAAAGTCAAGTGTAAATGAGCCCTTAGGGAGATTCACTCTTTTTATTTGTCCAGTTTACCATTATCAATGAAAGTAAAAGAAAATCCCAAATTTTGGTTTGTCCCCAGAAAAGTAATAGAGGGGAAATCTTCCAATAGGAACACTAGTTCTAGTGACCTGGGGGTCCCCAATGTATTCTCTTAATTTACAGATATTTCCTCTCACTTCCTGTTTTGGCAGTGAGACAGGAATTGAAGGGAAATCTCCGCAATGGGACATATATGGCAAAACAAAATCTTGCAGGGGTTATAACCCTCTCTTGCGCTATTAATAAAAAAAAAAGTTTTGCTATAGTTCTGTTTTAAAGCATGCTTGATGTGTTAGTAACGAGGCATGTCATAATGATGCTCAAACTCCACCTCCACAAAACCTTCCTTCACCCCTCATCCATATTACAGCACCTCACCTTACTTGGCAGCACGCACTTCTGCACAGCTCCTTCGGCTCCCAGGAGCGCCCTCTAGCGTCTGCTTCCCAAACTCAATACTCAGACAAAACAAAAAAGACAGGATGGCCAATCAGCGAGCAGGAAGTTGTTGGGCTGGCCAATCATGAAGAGCGGGGACAAGGAACAGGAAGTGGCAGCGGCTGGAGAAAGATGAGAAGAGAGGAGTTGGCAGTGAGAGGATCAGCTTATGTGTGTAGTGTGCCCTGCTTTGTGTCGTTGTGCTGTGTGGTAGTGTGTGTGTGGAGGAAGTGGAGCTGTGTCTGTGTGGATGGGGTTGTTTATGTAGGCAGCCTTTTTTTTCATACAGAAGTATTGTGTAGTTGCTAACGTGTGTTTATCAGTATACATAGTTCACTAAATCCTATCACTTAGAAGTGGAGGTAGGAGTGCTGCCCATGGCATTCAGTGTACTGGAAAGATGGCTGACTGATCCTCGTTGTTATGGTAACCCATATACCTCCTTTGTTATGATAGTTACCTGCCTGTTCACTACCACACTGCTAGGTTCACCTTTGTGCTTCCTGCATTTTGTATGTAGGCAGCCTATTCATTTCCATGAGAAACACAGGGAAAAAAGTACCAAACTCTTTCTTTTTTGCTTTCCTAAATTGCGGTGCACTGAGACACTTGATGCCACAGCACCATGCGTTTTGGCGCGTGCAAAAACATGTTTTCAGACGTGTGGGGGCCAATAAGCATTAATGACACCCCCACACGTCTGCTAAAGATTGCTTTTCCTGCAGGTTGGGAAAGCGCACCATTTTCTGAGCTTTCCCGACCAACACAATTGTAAAGCTAAATCACACGCCTAACCCACAACCAAAACGTGCTGCTTTTTAGCAGACACACAGAGATGTCTTAAATTCTTAATGGAACCCCCGCACATCTGAAGGTGCGCTAAACCACATGTTGCTGCAGCACCATGTGGTTCCGTGCCAGTACATTTTAGAAAAAGGGTCAGGAACTTTTTTTCGTGTTTGGCATAGCAGAACCATTGAAATGAATGGGCTGCTGTGCCCGTGCAAACGCACCCGCACAGAGAAGCACCTGCAAAGGGAAGCACCTATGTAAAACCTAGCCTTAGCCCTGGTTTACACTAAAATGCAGTACAGGAAACCCATCATCCGTGCATGTTTCCCTCTCTGCATTCAGATCACATTGCCTTTGCGATCTGCAGCCAGTGTCAGTTTAATGTTAATGGAATCCGAAATGCAGGTCGCAAATGTAGTGCGTTTGGCTACATTGGATCACATGGTATAAATCCACCGTGCAAACTGGTTACAGTGCGTTTCTAAAATTGGTCATTTCATACGAAGCGTTGCAATTTGAGTCCATTAAAAATGAAAGGACTCAAATTGCACTGCACTGAATTGCATGTAAATTGCACAAGAATGCGGTGTGCATTTCTGTGTGATTCATATGCGATTCATAGGGGTTGATTTACTAAAGGTAATTAAGCTGTGCAGTTGCTTTAGATCCGAGGTGAAGCTCTGCTGATTTCTATCATCCAATCGTGCAAGCAAAAATGATGGTTTTTTTTAATTTTCTTTGCATGTTCCCCGCAGATCTTGATCAGCTTATTTGCCTTTAGTAAATCAACCCCTAGATGTTTAGCCTCTATGAATGCAGTCTGGACGTTTTTTTTTTTATGCATCCAGAAGGCACAGTTGTAGTGTCCAGCCCTGCGGCCTCTCACCCTAGGTTCACATCTGTGCGGGTGGTGCCGCTGCGGATCCGCATGAAAATCCATGCAACCACACCACCCGCACAGAGAAATGCAGACCCACAGGCAGGTGCCATTAGTTCTAATAGCACATCGCCCGCACTGGAAACCACAACCGTACTGGGAACTGAGGTTCCCGTGCGGGCTGCGTTTTCCAAAGAAGTGCAGGGACTTCTTCCCTGCGTGTCACAGGCACAGGAGTCCATTCAAATGAATGGGCTCTCGTGCCCGTGCAAAACGCGGGCCGCATATTTGTGAACCGGGGGTTAAAGTCTAGGACAGGTTGAAATATTCTGTAACGTTTAGGGCCCTGTGCGTTCAGGGGTGCATGCTCAGAACATAGAATACCTGCATTCTGGGCATACATCCCTGCATGCGCACAGACCTAAACACAAGTACCACTCAGTACAGCATCCAGCCACAGTGTATTGTATTGTGCTACTTGCTCTCGGCTGTACACATTTAGGGATGTAGGCCCAGAATGCAGGTAATCTTCGTGCAGAGCAAACACCCCTGAATGCAAATGGCTCTAATCAGTACAACATCCAGTGGCAGCACATTTTTGCCTATTGTAGACTTACCAGGCTGTAGGCAGCGGGGCTGGACGGTGCACCCATGTCTCCTGGGCGAACAAGAACTCCAGGACTAGATGCACAGGGGTATACATGTGACATAATGCATCTGGGCTGTACCTTGGGGATGAGAGCAGGGTAGTTGTCCAGAGACTTTGGGGTGCAATAGCACACTGAGAAATAAAGACAGATTTTTTTTCAATGGGAACTCAGTTCCGGCACCTCCAGCAGGGAATGTATGCAATGGCAAGGGGTGCTGGAGGGTCTATTGATGTTTGCTGCTGGGGATCTATTGTCACTGTAGGGAATCTCTTTTTGCATGGTGGTCTATTGTTGCTCGGGAAGGCTAATGTTGCTGGTTTGGGATCTGTTGTTGCTGGAAGGGATTTACTGTTAAAGTAGAGGTTTGTTGTTGCTGGAGAGTCCATTGATACTGACTGCTGGGAGATCTGTTGTTGCTGCTGGGGGTGTGTTGTTGCTGTTGGAATCTGTTGTTGCTGGGGTGGGGTCTATAGCTGCTGGCCTGCAGGGGATCTATTTTACTGCTTTTCTTGTTATTAAATTACTTAGCACCACAAAATGATACTTAGTTCTGTATTCTCTATAAGGAGCAGTACTGGGAGGTGGGTAGGGGGTGGATCCAAGGGACTTTGCTCGGAGGTGGGCGAGACAAGAAATGATTCAGAAGGGGGAAGTTCCTTCACCTGTTTTCTGAGGAAATAAAAACCCTGAAGACAAACCATAGAATATTAAGGCGGAACTAAAGTTGAAAGTTGGAAACAGGCAGGCTCTTTATTGCAGAAAATCCATGCAGTGTCTCCTTAGCAGTACAAATACACCGACCTGCCTGTTCTCATCTCAGTCCTCAGGAGAATGTACACAAAGTTGCCCATGCACACCTTTGTTTGCATTCTGTGGGAGAAGATGCCAGTGAGGGACCTCTTGACATTGGAATAGAGGTATTTTTTTTTTATTTAGTGAAAATGCTCAGTTCACAAAGATAACACACCAGGATAAGGATACTGGAAATAAGTACCCTTTTTTTTTTTTGTTCAGTGGGATTGTATTGGTCTCTGATAAGCAGTCCATGTTGGATTGCTCTTCAGAGCACATTTTAACCCTGTGATCACCACACTAGCGTGGAGAGCTTGAAAAGTATCCCCATTCCTTTGAACAGGTCATGTAGCACCCACCAAAAGAGTTGGGGGGTATAATTCCTGCAGTGAAGCAAAGTATCATGGCCGTGACATGTGAACACCCCGGCTGCTTCATCTGCAGCTAAAGGGGGTAGTGATTGGGGACGGAGCAGGAGATTGGCTTGCTATCCTAAGTTTTAGGGCTGTCTGTTTGTGTACATGAAAACCCGTTTTCTCGCGGTACTTGTAATTACTGGATCACAAATTAAAGGGTTCTGGGCATCCAAAAGACTTATTCAGATAACATACTAACCATGCGGATAGGAGACGCCAAACACCTCCGGCTCATCAAGTGACGGGATGTAAGAATGGCCTCAGCATTGGCTCCTCCCAAGCCACACCCTCAAGGGCATGGCTTGGAAGGAGCGGAGACTGAGGCCTTTCTTACATCCTGTCACTTGATGAGGTGCAGGTGTGTGGCCTCCCCTTTCCGCATGTTTCTTTGCATTGATGCTCACAGTGTAGAGACATTTAACTCTAGCCCTGGCTAGGAACATACATGCAGTGGTGGCTCCCTAGGAACTTGCAAGGAAAGTGAGCCACCCTAAAACTGGAAAGTGCTGAAGGTAAATTCCAAAAATCATGCAACCAGGCTAGAGGTCAGCAGTAAATTACAAATCCTGAGTCCTCTTTTGAAACACAAATAGATCTAAAACAAGGTGCTAAGATTTTCTGAGATCACTAAAGGTTTTTTTTTTTTACCTAAATTCCCCCACCCCCACCCTGCAACCCTTGAATTTTTCTAGTTGATATGTACCCGGGCCATTCAATGCACTTTTTTTCCCACCCCTAGATTGTCTGTCTGCTTTTTTTTTTTTTTTCAATGTAGATTTCTGAGCTATGTTTTTGGTCACTGCCTCTAATCTAAGGACATTTTTGTTGCAGGGCCGAGAGTTCTGCTTTGGTGAAGATCGGAAGCCTTACAGATGTGAGATAGGATACTGCTGTGGTGATACCGAGTGTTGCACTTACTACTATGAGCTGTGGTGTAAGTCTGTAGTGAACTCCACTCAGTGATGCAATGAAAATAGATAGTCTACATTGATGAGCATCATTGGCTGAGATTAATTGTCTCCTTTTAGCCAAAACCATATAAATGTGTCCTGGTGGCCTACATTCCTTTTTGTAATTTAGGAAGTTTAGCATCTGTAATTTTTATGTCAGTGCATCATGTCCTCAGATGAAGACATATACTGTATGTACAAAGCAGAAACACCTAGTCATCAGCACTAGTCCAGAACAGCAATTTACAGTGGGAAGAACACAATCTGGCAAATAACCTATTTTCCCCCCCAGGCAGTATGTGGACTTCCACTGAGGATTCTTAGGGGTTTATTTACTAAAGCTGGAGAGTGCAAAATCAAGCTCACTTGTGCATAGAAACCAATCAGCATCCAGGTTTTATAGCCAAAACTTAACTGAACAAGCTGAGGTTAGAAGCTGATTGGTTTCCATGCAGAAGTGGGCCTGGTTTTGCACTCTCCAGCTTTAGTAAATAAACCCCATTTTGTCCATTGACCTCTCAATTATTGTGCAAACCTACCACTATGAGTACATTCTAAGTAAAACGTCAGCCTACTTCTGTTAAGTGTGCACAAGAATTAGGACCTTTGTCAGGTTTTTACTGCCCATGTCCCTATTGTGGAGGTTGTACCTAATTTCCTGTTCCATTACCACCCGTAACCAAAATCTCCCTAAGGCTAGGTTCACACGTATGCAGGTCAGGGAATGTGTGCTAATTACACGCACTTCCCAACTCAAAGGTAAAATTTGCTGCTGTTTTGCAGATGCGTGGGTGTGGCATTAATTCTTAAGAGAACTAAAGCAGGCAGAGGTTCTAACTAGACGTCTGGTGAAAAGTATAAATAAAAGAAGAAAACTAATTTTTTTTTCTTTTATTTATGCCTTTGCAATGAAAAACAAAATTATATCCTCTGTAATTAAGGCTAGGCTCACACCTATGCAGTTTGCATTTGATCCGTTTCTGCAGTGCGTTTTGGCACATGCATTTTTTACATGCTTTTGATGCGTTTTCATTTATTTTTTTGGCCAGCTTGTTGCTGGGCAGATTCAAAATGCATAAAAATGCACGCAAAATGCAGCACTTGCATTTTATATGCAGTTCCATTGAAGTCTTTTCACACAAACTGCTGCAGAAAAAGAAGTCCCTGACCACTTCCAAAAAACGTGCTTGCAAAAAAAGCATAGATGTGAATGTGATCTATAGGAAATCATGATAAATGGCATGCACTGTGTTCCTGCAAAATGCAATATGCATTAAAAAACGTACAGGTGTGAACCTGGTCTTAGTGTTCTATAACCTCCTACTTAACATAGGAGCTCACAGTGTATCAACACAGACAGTAGTGAATGGTCTGCATCACCAAATGTGTAAATGAGTAGAAGATCAGCATTTCACTGCAGCCCTGTACAGAAAGTCTTTATTGAATTGGAGGTGATACAGTAATTAGAGACAGCTTAGTCATAGTCCCCTAGCTGAAAAACAACTAACTAGCTGTCTACACAAAAAGGTGATGGAGGAATTTCCCTCGCTGCCAGGACATTGTGTTCTGATAATGGAACCAGTCGTTGTCAGAATTCATTGATCAGTGGCTGAAGCTTATTGGCTGCTGCCATTAATAAATGGAAATTTTTCCATGTCCTTTCAAAAGAAGCTGATCACATAATCGAGTTCTGTTGTGGAGGGGAGCCCATACACTGATATTTTGATTAGTGTGTGGCCAGCTTTAGTCATATCTGATGACCTTGTGCTTTGACATGCATTTTGGTACATTGCTATCATAAAGACATTTACTTGCAACCTGATTAACTGATACAGAGCAGCATATTCAGAGACAAATCTTGCCCCAGGAACTTAAGCTGGCCATTGATGGGTCGAAAATTTGTCCGAAAGCATAATCGGCTGATTTTTGGATCGTTAGTGGGTGAATTTGTCGGCCGTTTTTTGTGATTTTGACACTTTTTCTTTTAATCGGTTATGTTGGAAAAAAATGGCCGATTTTGTTGACCGGGCCGATTTTCACGGCAGTGATGGGCAAATTTTTTTTTTTTTTTTTTTTTTTTTTTACCGATTAAGAAAAAAATGCGCATGAGCCGTGACCTGCAAGCAGAAGGAAAAGAAGAAGAAAAACATCTGTATCTATTTGTATCCATTTCGAATACAGATGTTTCTATTCGGATACAAATAGATACAACCGCAATACTTTTAAATGTCAAAAATACGGCCGGCAAATATAATAGCAGTGTCCCTGCAGAGAGCTCCGCTATTATATTTGACATTTAAAAGTATTGCGGTTGCAACATTGTGTCTATTTGTATCCGAATAGAAACATCTGTATCTGAAATGGATACAAATAGATACAATGTTGCAACTTTGCTATACTTTTAAATGTCAAATATAATAGCGGAGCTCTCTGCAGGGACACCGCTATTATATTTGCCGGCCGTAGACAGGACGAAAATCAGCCGATTTTTTTTTTTTTTTTTTTTTTTTTTTTTTACCAATGGTGGTAGTGTTGGCCGATTGAGCAACCGATCTTTAATTTATTTTTTTATTTTTATTTTTAAATGGCTGGTTTTCGCCCCGTCTATGGCCTGCCTAAGGCTGGCCATTCACAACTAATTTTTTATCTTTCAACTAACGGGTTGAATGAAAGAAAATGACTCAGTTCCCCCGTCCACACACTCGAGTATCTGCTAATCATGAGTACAATGCTCTGCTGTGCTAAGAAGAAACATGACAAATGCGCATTTTTTTACCTGGAAAATAATTTGCAATGATTTATTTTTTCTACAAAAGTGAACTTCTCCTTTTAAGGGTTGAGAGAGAGAGTAGTGTTTATATTATGTTTTGGTGTTCAGGTTAAAGGTGTAAAGCAATAATTTTAAGGGTTAGGATTAGTTCAGGTTGGAGGAAATCTATGCTTTGCCTATGCAGGGCAAAGTAGCAGGCTCACTTAACTTCTCCCTTCCCCCAACATCATATTCCCACCCTACCTACACTCCCCTACTGTTCTATTAGTATAACTGAGTATGGTAAAGCATGCAACTCCCTTCTTTTTCCTCCTCCTTCACAAAAGCGCAGATGCTTGGGGACTGGCCCAACACTGTCACATGGGGTTGGGAAGATACTTATTTCACACTCCCAATGGTTAAATGGAGCATCAGGGAGCAAAGAAAACTCAGTACATGCTGCTGGGTAAGGGAAGAGTTAGGCTGGCTATACATTATGCAGTTTTCTTTCTTTCAACAACAGGTAGAAAATCGTTTGATTCCCTCATCAACACACAACATAGTCCGAGTTAATAGGGGAATCCCTCCCACTAGTCTATTGTATTCCGACAGTAGGAGGTTTCCCAGCCTTTAGAACACAATGATTACTGCTGGCGGCTTTAGCCATCGGCAGTGATTGAAAAAAAAAAAAAAAAGACAGGTTGGTTGTACTGAAGTTGATCGACTGATCGACTTCAGTATAACCAGCCTGCCCATACATGGTTGAAAATGTTGTCGTTTTCTGCTGAACTAGCCAAATTTGTGGCTATGGCTAGCTATAGAGACAATATTTCCAGACCATGAATTTTAACAAAAGCCTTCCCATAAGATCTCTGAGGCTGCTGTGCTACCATCTTGGTTGTGAAGTCAGCAGACTCATAGCTGTCACTGAAGTGACACTCAAGTAACACTCTTACCTCCTTCCCTAGCAGCTATATAAAATTTATGTAGGGAGATGAGGGGAGGGGCGGAGATGCTGGGCCAGCACAGATAGTAATTAGACACTCTCAGAAGAGGAAAGGGAAATGACATGCAAAGAGAAAGGGGGCTGTACCTAGGAAATTTACTCTCCTGGAGTAGTCACATTTTCTAGCAGGTTCAGATGCACATTGTAATTTAATTTAAAAAAAAAATGGCTTGTTTTCTCTCTAGGGTTCTGGCTGGCCTGGACGCTCATCATTCTGGCAGGCTGCTGCTGTGCATATCGGCACCGTAGAGTAAAAATAAGACATCAGCAGGAGCTGAGACAACGTGAGATCAGCCTTAATGGCCTACCAGGGGGTCACTCCATCTGCCTCTGCTGCAACTGCCTTAGGTAAATTCTACCCTCCATTAAATGTGTTATATAATGAGCCGCTGAAGATTGTTACATGATTGATTAGTGAACCCTTAGGTCCCATAAATGACTTGCAATTAACCATGAACAGTGGAAGTTCCCAGCATGGGAGAAGGTTGCAAAAACAGAAACACCTCAGTTCAGTCATCTTCTTAGCCAAATCTACTTAAATATCAGGTCCAGGGAGCCTGAACGCCTAAAATACTGCAGTTGATGTTTGTAGGTTATATCAAGCCATTTTCATATCCTAGATTGCACTAACTGAATTTAAATATTTAATTTGAGCCCTGTTTGCTTCTGTCAGTCTGAACTCGGAATAAAGATTCCAGAGAGCCGGAGTGCATAACTTTCACATCGCAGGCTATTTAACCATTTGAATACCGGGCAATTTTCCCCCTTCCTGCCCAGGCCATTTTTCAGGTTTCAGCGCTCTGACACTCTGAATGACAATTGCACTGTCATACAACATTGTACCCAAACTAAAATTTTATCATTTTCTTCACACAACTAGAGCTTTCTTTTGGTGGTATTTAATCACCGCCGGGGTTTTTATTTTTTGCTAAATCATCAAAAAAAGACCGAAAATTTTGAAAAAAAAAACAAGTTTTTCTTTGTTTCTGTTATAAAAGTTTGCAAATAAATAATTGTTCTTCATAAATTTAGGCCGAGATGTGTTCTGCTACATGTCTTTGGTGAAAATAACCCAAATTAGGATGTATTTTTTAGTTTGTAGGAAAGTTATAGAGTTCACAAACTATGGTATAGTTCTGAATATTGATCAATCCTGAAGTACTGACAGCCAATCTAATTTCTTGAGGTCCAAGAATGTCAGAACAGTACAGATATCCCCCAAATTACCCCTTTTTGCAGAGTAGACAGTCCGACATACTTCATAAGAGGCATGGCAAGTTTTTTTGAAGTTGTATTTTTTTTGTCATTTTTCGGAAAATGAAAAAATGCAAAAAAATTATTTTCACTTTTTTTTTTTTTTTTGTTTACATACTGTCACCAGTGCAGTACAGCGTCTTCATATAACTGGCATGGCGGTGATCAGGGACACTGACTGGTGACAGTATGAAAAAAAAAATATATATTTTTTTTTTATTTTAATTTTTTATTACATTTGTTTTTCTTTTTTTTAAGTTTTTTTTTGTCCAGAGTAGTACAAAGTTACCATAGTAACATTGTGGAAGTGATCAGTATTTTTTTTTTTTTTACACAATTTGCTTATAGCAAAGAATTACTTTGCTATAAGCAAGCATTTACCTGAATTACATCGATTCATTCAGGTTTTTTTTTTTTTTTTTTTTGTGCTTAGCTGTGATTTGGCCACAGCTAATCACATGACATGTGCATGTGATTAGCTGTGACCATTCACAGCTAGACACTAGTATACAATGGATGGCATGAATGAAGCCATCCATTGTATACAACTGTCATGTGACCTGCTGTGATTGGTCACAGCAGGTCACATGGTACCGGCAACGGGGCCGATACTCAGATCTGTCATCAGCCGTGTCCAAGGTACACGGCTGGTGACAGATCGCGCCGCTGCGCGGCTCTGCAAGCACGAAAAGTGCGCATGTGCGGGAGGACGCCATTTGACGTCCAACCCGGAAATCCAATACATTTTGCCGGCCGCCTTTTGGCTATTGGCGGGGCGTGTATTGGTTAAAGTGGTTCTAAAGGAACTTTTTATTTTTAAATAACAAACATGTCATACTTATCCGCTCTGTGTAATGGTTGTGCACAGAGCAGCTCCGATCCTCTTCTCTGGTCCCCCGCCAGCGTTCCTTCCCCCTTCCAAGTGCCCCATAGCAAGCCGCCTGCAATGGGGGCACTCACGTGGGCTTAATCCTGAGCCGCACTTTGTGTGTCCATTGACACACAGCATTGCTTGGTCCCACACCTGCTGTCTCATCACAGGCTGTATATGAGATCAGTAGGAGTCAGTGGCTCTCACTACTGCCCCCTTTGGCCAGTGAAGAAAGAGCAGAGAGAGCCACAGTGCTGGATTGAGATCAGGCTCAGGTAACTGTTTAGGGAGGGCTGCTGGGGAGCAGAACACAGAAGGTTGTTTTATCTTAATGCAGAGAATGCATTTAGGTAAAACAAACCTTCTGCCTTTAGAACCACTATAAAGAAAAAAAAAATCACATTCCTAAGTTTATTTAGTAAGACAGTGCAGGACAGAATTGATGCGCAAAGTTCAGTAATCCAACAATAATCTCTTCCACTCTGAGTACAGCAATCTGCATAGCATTTTAGCTTGGCATGCTTATGGTTTGCATTTTTCGCAGCTGCTTTGAAGATTTAAAAAAAAATGCCTGAAACTTGCAGAGCTCCATCCAGAAATAATACAGTTAAAAAGAATTGCCCGTCAAAAGATAAAATACAGCTTTTGCTTCAGTTTTCACATTCAGCCAAGAAATTTACTCCACTGTCCTTTTTATTTTGCCATAAGATGTCCTCAGTCTGATGACCGACATCATTCAACTCACTTCTTCTGAGCCCTGGTCATCCTGGACCAGCTCCCAGCCTGTTATTGGACAGTTAAAGAAGAAGCAGTGCAGTGATAAACTCATCTGTTTGTCACTCTGCTCTGTCCTCTAGCAACATTGTTGTTGTTAGCACATTAACTGGCTCCTTGTGTTGCTGCTTCTTCCTTACACTCTCCAGCTTTCCTGTACAGGGACTGCAAGAGGCAAGAGTCATATTCAGGTACTTACACTGCTTGTATGTGTAAAAGAAAAAAAATACATGTAAAGATGTATTAATGATTACAGAGCTGCACTAATTTGTATCTTATTTCTGTGTTTATCTGCCTGGAATTCATTTTTAAGCCCATATGTACAAGGCCTATGGTCTTCAAAAAAAATCTGTTCAGAACCTGTCAAATACTTTGTAAATTATGTTGATTGGACTAGCCCATGTGAATAAACCTTAAAGTGGTTCTAAAGGCTGAAGGTTTCTATCTTTATGCATTCTAAGTGTGCAGCAGCCCCACCAGTTCCCCCCCTAATACATTCGTTCCCGCTGCTGTCAATCACAGCCAGTCAGGAGGGAGAATGGGACGAGGTCGAGCCACACACTGTGTGTCTTATAGACACACAGATGCGGCTTGGGAACGAGCATGCATGAGTGCCCCCAGAGCAAGCAGCTTGCTTCAGGGGCCCTCAGCATGGGGGAGGAGCCAGGAGTGCCAACCGGGTACCTGAAAAGAGGAGGATTAGGGCTGCTCTGTGCAAAACCATTGCACAGAGCAGGCAAGTAAGACATGTATGCTATTTTTTAAAAAAATCTAAATTTTTAGTACCACTTTAATCCTGTGATTGTTGTACTAATTAATTTCATTGCTGTTCAGATATTTGTTAATTGTACAGCACAAGGCACAGAGGACTTAGATATTCATGACTACCTGGGTTATGCTGCAACCTTCAGGTGAATAGACACTGGCCAAAAAAGGCAGGAATCCCCTCCTAGGCATAACCTCTCCCAGCTCAGCTAAGTCTAACTTTTGTGCTAGTGTCCTTAGGTTATGGGTGTGCCTCCCCGTGTCTTTCTAAAACTCTCTCTTAGACTTTATTCCTGCATATCTGGTCCTGTTTCTTACAAACCTGATGGGACAGGGGTGGGCTCTACCTGGATCAATCGCTAAGGACAGCAGTCTAGGGAGAACAATACCTGCCGATGTGAATGACAGTGGCAGGAATCTGTTGATTCCTGTAGATGTTTTGCTACCTGTTAGTGGCAAGCTAATATCCATCTTCCAGCAGCTATCACCATGGCTGCCACTGACCTGTCATTGAATTGTACAGGGCTCGGTGGCCACAGTTAGCTGCTCACTGGTGGCAGAAACAGCTGCAGGAATCGGCAGATTCCTGCCATAGTCATTTGCAAAGGCGCTAGTTGCCCATATGATTGTAGCCTCAGTCTTCTGTGTCCTGTGATGGATGAAAAAGAAATTTTGTTTACCTGTAAAATCCTTTTCTAGGAGTACATTACAGGATACCGAGATCCGTCCCCTCTTGTCGGTTCCTCTTAGACTGCTACAACAATGGGGCTTAGCTGAGCTGGGAGGGGTTATGCCTGGGCAAGCATTCCTGATTTTTTTGGCCAATGTCTATTCACTTGAAGGTGGCAGTCCAAACCCAGAATCCTATATTTCCTATGTATCTTTTACTAGTCTTGTTAATAATGCTGACTTCGATATGATGACACTATACAAATATTATATGCCCTGTATAATACTATGCAACCAGTATAAAGCAGTAAGGTTTGTACATTTTGCTGTAATGTGGTAGTGGCATTTTTCCATGTCTTACTTTTTCTACAGAGGTCTGGCCAACCTGCAAACTGCCTACATATGAAGAAGTGACCCAAGACCCACCCACGCCTCCACCACCCTATTCTGAGATTTTGGAAGAGACAGGTGGTGAGAGTCAACATTTTCCTGCAGCTAGTTCTGTAAGTTTAGATCTTACACTATCTCAGCAAGAGGCAGCATCACCCGACGAGGTGTCTACAACAGATCATCTTGTGTATCGACATGATTGTATGGAGCAAGAGAGTGCCAGTGCCTTGGAGAGGAGACGCCACATCACAGGGGATTCAGGAATCGTTCTTTGTGACGAGAAGGTCATATGCTTGAGTGGGAGAGAAGAGGAGGCTGATCTATGTGGTGGGCGATACGTCCACATAGAAACAGGAGAGATACATAGACAGGGGGATAACTAAATCCTATTTCTGAGAATTCATTTGCTTAAATGGAAATCTGTAGTGAGGAAGTTTGGAAACTGACATTGCTGACCTCTTCTCAGATTACTGGGTCTATGGATGCCTTGCTGATCCAGTGGATTCATTACTTTCTAAATCAATGACTTTTACTGAGTATGGAGATTAGGATTTATGCCTTCCCTCTGTCTTTTGTAATCTACATGCTTGCCCCTGGCCATTGTGTCAAAGTATTGGAACAAGAGAGAGCCAGATAGCTAGCATTTTCAGAAGGAGGTCATCAGTGACAGTCTCCGTATTTACATTAGTACAGCTTTTCATTAATGGGCAATACATGACCATAAGGGGTTCTATCCCATGGACATTTATTTACAAGGGCTGTTACACCAGGGGGAACAGCGGCCTCGCCAACCCTGACAACCCTCTATTTCCTGGCACTATCCTTGCACTGATGGCATCTTCTTACAGAGCTTTTGCACTTTGTTTTTGTAAATTTGTCATTGGATTCAACTGGAGAATCCACCTGTGTTTTCCTTGTTGTTATAATTGTTTTTTGTATAGAATTAGACACATTTTGTTACTGACATCAGAATGCTGTGTAATATTGTACTCGCCATGGCATGGTCTCAAAGAACAGTTCTATGTCTGCTTATCAGAAGGGAATACTGATAAATAAACCAGCTCAGTTTAACAATGGACTCATGGTCATTTACAATGCATTGGTAGATCTGACATTGTTAAACACCATATATTGGCTCTGCATGGGTAGATTTCAATGCATTTTCTGTTGCTAAGGCATTTGTTTAACTATTGGGCAATGGTATGGTGGTACCAGTAATTTGATTGAATAGGATGCTGCTGGTCCCTACTGAAACTACTTAAAGAGGAAAGGTGTTTTTTTTTTTTTTTGTTTTGTTTTTAGCTTTGGCACTAATAGCATAACATCACTTTTTAACCTTCCTGGCGGTATGATTCTTTCGTTTTTTTTTTTTTTGTGTGCTGAAAAGAGGTACCATTTTTTTGCATGGAAATATGTAGTTTTTTTATTGTAGGCTGTAATTTTTAGGAATAACTCACTGAAATCTGTACGAACAAGAGTCTAGTAAACATTCCGGATATGATAAAACTTGAAACACGAAATCATAAATAAATTATAATTTAATAAACAATCATAAAAAATAATATAATAAATTTGATTCAATAATATAATCAAACCAAAAACACTGAAATTTGAAATACAGAGGCAAATTCTCACATCGCTGAGCAAAGTCGCAAAATCGTTTTCAGTGTCTTATGACGAATTTCACCACAAATCATTATCACTCAATTCTGCAAGTGGTTCTGATTTACTATCGCAGTTCTAAAACCGCTTTTGACGTAAAGGGACGCTTTTTGGACGCCATGGACTTTTCTAAGTTTCCAGGCAGAAAGAACAGTCAAAATGTAGGCAGGGCACAGGACAAAGCAGTAGGGACAAAATATATGTGAAATGCATTGAAACAGCAATGACAGCAAAAATTACATTTTTTAAAAATTTAAAATTTCTGCGCCCGTACGTCCCGACATTACAGGGACCGGAACACAGAAGCCGGATGCCGGCATCGGCCGGAGGAGATGACCGGGGACGCTGCAGGGGACACATCGCGGGAGCGAAGGACAAGGTAAGTGCTGCAGGGACCCCCTGAGCAACGCCACAGGGTAAGCTCGGGGTTATCGCTCTTGGTATTGAAATTTTACCCCGAGCTACACTCGGGAATACCGCTAAGGAGGTTAATCACGTTTAAAGAAGAAGTTTTGACAATATTATATTTGTTGCTCCTGCCCCCCCAGATGACAAAGTTAATGTAGGACTTTGCCTTGTTTAAGTGGTGGTGTTCCTGAGATACGTGGTCAACCGTGCCCCTCACTTCCTCCACCCCTGTCCAACTACATGTATAGCAAGTATATGAATAAGTGGTGATTGACAGTCTTGTGCACCAGGCACTTCCCTGAGACCAGCACTATCAGTAGGTATGCAGGGGGAGGGAGCATGTCCATTCCCTGCTTTACCTCCTCTATCTTTTCAAGCAGTGATCGGTTCATATAGATCTTTTACTTGGTTATCCAGCTTAATTGGTTGCTAGGATGTAGGCAGCTGGGATTCACTGTGTCATTGCTTGCTAGCACACAGGCAGTCAGGCCACACAGATCTTACAGCTGGATTTTCATCAATTCAGATCTAGTTTTTACACTCCATAGAATAAAAAAAAAAAACACGTTTATCCGCACTGCTAAAAAAGTGCTTTGTTTTATGTCCCCATTGGAGATATCTTCCCATTTTTTCCTATCCCAATAGGGACATAAGTAGGCAACAAAAACCTGATAGAGGCTTTAACTTGTCCCTTCTCTCTCAAATCGAAATAAGAAATTTGACTGGAGTTGGCTTTAAAGAGACCAGAATTAGAACTCCCTTGGAAAAATACAATCAAATCTGTAATAAATAGCATTTCCATTTTCGACTAAAATTAAGCCGTTTTTCACTTGAGGCTGTGAAAAAAAGATATGACAAAATTAACAAACATGCATTTATTTGATATCCTCTCACTAGACTGGATTGTGTCTCCAGTTTTCAAAAGAAGAGCACTTGACACAGTTTTATAGAAGTGAAATATATGTATCACAGTTGAATCTAAGTATAACAATTTTTTCAATAGTTACATTGACCCAGTCTGAATAAGTATGTATGTTCCATACTTGTGGGATTCCCCTGGAAGCTGAAAATTACTAAAAAGCAGACACCACTACTTCATCGATTTTCTAGCTTCCAGGTCCCGTGCCGAGCATACGCACATCCGCTTGCAGAACACAGGTCATCCATTTGGAACGTGCACTGTTCAGAGAACACTTCATTTCCTAAATTAATGCAAATGTTCTTTTATTGGATGAGGGATGTCATCACCTTGCCTCTCCACCTTGCCTGTTTGGAGAATGTTTTGCACTCATTGGGAAGCGTGCCAAGTGATTAACCTCCTGTGTTTACAATAAAGCAGGGCAGCCATTCAGCTTGAGAGCCAGATACTAGTGGAGACTTTCCAGCTTCCACAAGGATCCCAAAGGTATGGCACATACATATGTGCATACGTCCAAGCTGGAACAATGTATCTATGTGACAAATTGCTGAACTATCTGGGATCAATGAAACTGATAAAAATACAGCATCAGCAGAGAGCACGAGAATTTGTTAGGTCAGTTCCCGTCTGGTCTGTTAAATATACCATTAAAAATGCTTTGTTATATGTAAGAGCAAAAAAAATACCCATTGATCATCAAAAAACCTTTTTGAGCACTCTGCATCTACTGACTTTTATCAGTTGGCATTGTTCCCAGATCTTTCTGTGGAATACAGAACACTTAAAGCATGTTCATGCATCACTACAAATATCTGTACCTCAACCTTACAGTAAGTTCACCATTTGGAGCATGTTACACCCATATTTAGGGTGTAATGTGTAACATGCTCCAGCAGTCGACCCCTGCACCTCCCTCCATGGTGGCAGATGGCTTGTAATACTCCAGGAACTGTGAGGGCACTAAAGAGGATGCTCATATTTCACAAGCCCTTCAGCTTTCAGAATGACAGCCCGTACAGAGGTACAGGCTGAAAGCTGTAGGGCTTGTCTGCAGGAGCCTGACATTGCACCCGCAATCCACTGATCATGGGTGCAATGCTTGGCAGGCTCCTGTGGGAAAAAATAACTGCACTTTTTTTTTTTTTTTTTTTTTGCAAAAATATGTGCATTTATTATTTTTCCCATAAGGTGAACTTTAAGCTCAAACTTTTTTGGAGGGATAGACTTGGGCAGGGTTAGAAAACCCTGAAGAGGTGGAGAATTACCTGAAAAAAAAGATTACCAGGAGGCAGCACTGGTCCCATTAAAAAAATAAGGAAAGTTAGAGTTCAGAGGTCAGGATTATACAAGGCAACATTCAGGAGTAAATGAGTGCTGAGGTCAGTAGTATGTAACCCACCCTGCAGAGGTCAGGGCGTATGTAATCGACTGTACTGGGCTTAGAAGTAATGCACAGTTTAGGAGTAAGTAAAACAGAGTGTGGGGCTCAGGACTAAGCAACAAAGAATTTAGAGAGCAATAGAAAATAATTCAGAGTGCAGGGGTCATAAGTATGTAAATCAGTGTAATAATACGCAGTGTATAATGCACGATACTGTTCAGAGCTGCTGTCATCTGTGTCCCCTTTGGAGGGATTCTATTCACGCTGTTTCATAGAGCAGGAAGTAATAGGAGATCTTTCCAGTATAAGGGAGAGATCAAGATTCCCCAGTGGGAGATTTCTTTACTCCTTCACTATCCAAAACCAAAAAGAAATGTTATGCACTTTAGATCATGTAAGTGTGTTTAAATATATAAAATATCAGTATAAGTATTTTGAACACGAAACGTGAAACTTTATGCTTTTGAAAAATGTTATATGTATGTATGAATTTGATATATTCATTTAGGGATAGTACCCATTTAATGAATGGGGGAAATTACCAAACCTTTCTGCTCAGAATAAAAAAAAAAATCCATGCCTAATTAACAAACAAATTGCAGCAGTTTGCAATATAAAAAACTACCACAGATCCCTGCCAGATTGGACCTGTTTGCTGGTTACCTGGTGGACAGCTCACGTGCCTCTCTCGGCCCTTGCAGTGGTCCCACTATGTGGGCAAGGTCTACATATGGGCAGGCAATTCCAGGTCTTCTGCTGCCTATGCCATATCTGGCACAGAAATGGTATAGAAAACAGAGCAAGTTTTTCCTAAATAACAGAGGCTTGCATCCCCTTTGTTAATTAGGTTCAATATCTGCTTCGTTTTCACAGTTTAGAATAATTAAAAAACTGTGCCACGCTTTAATTCCCCTAGTGTTTCCAAATATTAGATTGCTTTAAATTGAAAAAATGCGTGTGTTCAATGTGATTTTCTAAAATTGTAGTCTGCTGCATATCATTTTTACAATGCA